AGTCGATGAAAATGAGGTGCGATTTGTGCGACAAATACTTCTCACCACAACTTCTGGTCCATCACTTGTCCACACATTTGGACCACAGTTTGCAGACATTGGATGACAACAACACTAACAGTATTCTGACGGACACTTCCATCCATGTGTGCCGTACTCTTGAGACCACTACCGGTCCACTCATCTCACATACAGATGACCTCCGCGTCAAACAAGAGTTTAGTGACCACTCGGACGATGACAGCAATTGGTCGGCCATTAATGATATGTCCGACGAGTTGGACAGTACTGACGAGGAATGTGAAGAGCAAGAGTCTTGTGGAAGTGCTTCCAATAGTAAACGCAATCTGCGATCAGTGACTAAAGACGTTAAAAATGAAGAGTTGTCTGAAAAATGTGGTAATATTTGTGTTTTGAATTCACTTTCATTTCCTAACAAACGATTTGTTTTCTCATTTACCATAAGATTTAGTGTGCAATGAGTGCGAGAAGTCATTCAAAAGTCAGTTGTCTTTATCTATACATTTAGCGAAGACTCATAAGATTGAGGGAAAGTATCAGTCGATTAAATGCTATAAATGCGGACAAAGTCTCCCAAAACGTCAAATGAGAGCCCATTTGCTCGAAGAGCACAATATTAGCACTTATTCGGTGTCCAAGAAGTTGTCGGACCTGTCGTGCTCTTGGCCTGAATGTGAGCGCACATTCCGAACACAGTCTACTTTGGACAGTCATCTCAGGTTTGCCGCACTTTTTGCCGTATATTTACTCTATCAATAAGACTTACACCTGTGCTCTAATAGGAAACATACGGGTGATCTGCCCTTCAAGTGCCAGTGGCCGGGATGTGACCGACAATACGAGTAAATGATTTTCATATGATTTTACAATTTTTAACTGCAATTACGTTAGGAAAAAAGATCGGTATATAGAATCGCCCCCATGCTAATCCTATGGGAAAATTGACTACAAAGTTAGCTTAACAAGGTTAAATAAATTTATTTAGGGTTAAGTTAGGGTAGGGTAGGTTGGGTTATACAAAATTCAGTTAAGGTTGGGTCAGGTTAAGTTATGGTAGACACCAGAGTAATATTGTAAGGGATCATGCAGACTCATGAAGTCTCTTTGTCTACCGGTGTCAATAACCAGTCCCCTAACGATCCCCACTTTTATTGACTAAATTATTACTTAATAAATGCATGGGCATCAGATTATCCGTAAATAGTTTTAGGCAGGTTTGCCAGTGGGTTCAGTTGTCTATTTATCTACCGGTGCCTTATTTTGACAATTTCAATAACATTTCTTAAATTAAAGAATATACTAGAATCGCGGTTTGGCATCGAATTGTCTGTCAATCCTTGTTTATACCGTAAAAGTGATTTGATTTGATTTAAATAATCAGTTTTATTGAATTTGCATTTATTACTAATGAATTGTAACTTCAATAGCAAACAACAGCGACTGGACGGACACGTGACTATGCATACGGGAGAGAAGCCGTTCGCGTGCGAGTGGCCCGGATGTGGCAAATCGTTTAGACATTACTCTACCCTTAAATCACACGCTTATACTCACGATAAGAATATTCCGCGAAAACACATCTGTTATTACCCCGCGTGTGACCGCTCTTACGATAATCCCGCAAAAGTATTACACAATTCGTTCATTTTGTACCTCAAAACGAACCCTTACTTATGACTTGTACCGTATGTTCTGACCAATAGCTCAATGAACACATATATAGTGTCCATAAAAAGGATGAGAAGCCCTTTAAGTGCACTGAAGATGGCTGTAACTCGACGTTCATATCAGCAAAGAATATGCGTTTACGTAAGCAATCGATACTTGTGTTTGCATTGAATTGGTACTCATTTTGTGTTTAATATTTAGATTTACGAACAATACATACACCGGAAACTCGTGTCCGATATAAGTGTTCAGTAGAGGGCTGTGAGAAGACATTCTTCGAGAAGAAAGTGCTGAACAAACACGAGGCGCGCAAACACGCGGACAGAGCACCGGTAGTCAAAAAGAAGCGTAAGAGGTATCCGCCTAAACCGGGCTCAAGGAAATTCAAATATACCACTAAAAGCTCGCAGGTTTTGCCGTTTGAATTGATTTGATAATTACAGCATATTTAATGGCATCACTAATGATATTGTGTTTGCCTTAACAGTGCGATTGGCCCGGTTGTGATTATAAAGCTGAATACCCGGCCAAAGTTAATTTGCATAAAATGCGTGTCCATACGGGTGAGAAGCCTGTGGCCTGTCAGTGGCCGGGCTGTACGTACCGCGCCGTTCGCAAGTGTGAGATCGACATTCATATGGTCGGTGTTTTTGTTTTTGAAAATATAAGCCTATTTATGGCACTAAATGTGTGTATAATGTTTGTCCATCAGATGAAACACACGGGTGAGGCTCCCTATCCGTGCGAACTGCCCGACTGTGGCCGTCGGTTCAAATCCCAGAGAGCGCTCGACACTCATTGGCATAAAACACATCATTTAGGATAAAATGATTGCAAAACCTATTTATAAAATGTTATGTAATAATGTGTTAAAATAGTAATATTTTTGTCTATTTGTAATAGAAATATAATTTATTTTCCAATTATCGGTAATTGTTTTACAAAAAAAAGTTATTTCCCTTTAAATGCAATCAATTGTAACGTTGTTTGCGTTGAGAGTCCTCTGGTGTCCGCAGTATTGACTCGTTTTATGTAAATATTTTTGATTTAATTTTTGTTTTGAAAACACATTTGAGTTTTGATTAGTGTTTGCATTGAATGACAACTTCTGGAGATTTGGTGACAAATGCGACCAAATGTGAGGTCAGGCGTGAAAACGGGTGAAACCGATGCCACGGAAGCGTGTATTGCATTGAAAGACTAGCCAACATATCGGCACATCTGGTCAGACACACCAATTCCAAGGACTTCCAGTGCCAGTGGCCCAGTACTGCATACCTTTCCACGTTTTATAACACTTTTACTGATCTTTAATTTTGTGGATTAGATTGCGATAAGAATTTCGGATACAAGAAGTCACTGATGGCTCACATCGAGAGCTTTCATCTGCGAAAAGAGCGCTTCAAGTGTTGCTGCGATGGCTGCGGCAAAGTGTTTGCCCACAAGTATGAGCTACAGATCCACATCAGGCAACTACACGACAACGAAGTCAATCACCGGTGCGTTTGGACGGAGTGTCACATCGAGTCCAAGACATTGGCGTGTCTTTGGCCTAAATGTGGACAACGTTTTCTCAATAAAAAGTCTGTCTTTTTTAAAACTATTAATATTTTGTTAATTAAAACCATTTCTTGTCTTTTAATGAATGCTGTTATAAATGAAGACTTTTAGACAATCATATGGAAGAGAATCACCTAAAAGGGTAAGGATTTTAGTTTTGGTCAATAATATCGCACATTATGATCGAGTAATTAATGTGAAACTCATTTCCAAATGACAGTCGAATCGGCTTTAAAACCAAAGGAGAGAAGAGAGAAAACTCGCAAAACATTGACACGAATTGTGAACAAAGTCTCTGTGATAACGAAAACAATTCTGAAGTGATTTGCGGTGATAATGATCTGAAAGGCCGACAAAAGTCCAGTTATGTTGCACTCAATCGCAGAAATAGATACAAACCGAGTGATGAGTCGCCCGAACAGTATATCAACAAATATACGGGTAATTAGATTGGCTTCTAATGAATTGGCATTTATTTGTATGAAAAAACTGTTGGCTTTTTTAAGGTAAACCATTGTCCAGACGACGCCGTGAGAAGAACTACGTGTGCAGTTGGCCCGCCTGTGGGATGGCCTTTGAAAATGTGTCCGCAGTTAACAACCATATGCGCAAACACACCGGTAAATGAGCGCATTTTTTGGAAAGTATTGTTTAATTTAATAAATTATTTTATATTTCAGGTGAGAAGCCATTTGTATGTGATTGGGAATCGTGTGGAAAGACATTCCGGTTTGTAATCGCTTCGCTCTCTTGAGTTTATTTTAGATTTTAATTATGGTTTGCTTTCTGTTTAGCTATGGAAGTGGTCTCAAACGTAAGCCATACTTTTGGTTAAGTTGTGTTTTATTCACTATAATCTCTACAAAATTTAGTGCACAAAGAGATGATTCACTTAAAGCTGAGGCAATACCGGTGCGATTGGCCGACCTGTACGGAGGCCTTCATATCAATGTCTCAGCTGAAAGTACATGAGTCCGAGCACACGGGCATCAAGAAGTACCAGTGCAGTTGGCCAGGCTGTGAGTGGCGCACAAACCATACGCAACAACTCGACATTCATCGCATGCGAGCACATGAGGGCAAGAAAGTGGTGTTCAAGAGATATAAGTCGAAGAATAACTCTAATCCCAACTCCGACTATG